CCCTGAGTGGAATGAGGTGTTTGCCTTTGCAAGGGATAGAATTCAGTCTTCAGTCTTGGAAGTTGTGGTCAAGGATAAGGATCTGATCAAGGATGATTTTGTTGGGATTGTACGGTTTGACCTGCATGAGGTTCCCACTAGGGTTCCAAGATGTCTCAAATGTTTAATTTACATTTTCTCATTATCCATAACCTATACCTGATAGTCCACTGGCTTCAGAATGGTATCGACTTGAAGACAAGAAAGGAGAGAAATCAAAAGCGGAACTGATGCTTGCTGTCTGGTATGGTACACAAGCTGACGAGGCATTCCCTGATGCTTGGCACTCAGATGCAATTTCTCCTGATAGTTCTTCCATTATCTCCACACTCATCCGCTCTAAAGTATATCATTCTCCAAGACTATGGTATGTCCGTGTTAATGTGATTGAGGCGCAAGATCTTGTGGCATCTGATAAGAGTCGTTTCCCAGATGCTTATGTTAAGTTACAGATTGGTAACCAGGTTTTGAAGACAAAGATAGTTCCGAGTCGGACATTGAGCCCAGTGTGGAATGAGGAACTAATGTTTGTTGCTGCTGGACCCTTTGATGATCATCTGATCCTTTCGGTTGAAGACCACACTGGACCCAACAAAGATGAGAACATGGGGAAGGTTGTTATACCATTGAACACTGTTGAGAAGCGTGCTGATGATCGCATTATTCGTAGTCGGTGGTTCAGCCTTGAAAAGTCCGTGTCAGCTTCCATGGACGAGCATCAGTCGAAGAAGGATAAGTTTTCTAGTAGACTCCATCTTCGAGTTGTGCTTGATGGAGGGTATCATGTGCTTGATGAGTCAACTCACTATAGTAGTGATCTTCGGCCAACAGCAAAGCAGCTGTGGAGACCATCTATAGGTGTTTTGGAGCTAGGGGTTTTAAATGCTGATGGGCTCCACCCAATGAAAACAAGAGAGGGGAAGGGTACCTCAGATACATACTGTGTGGTAAAGTATGGTCAGAAATGGGTTCGGACTCGAACCATAATCAACAGCCTCAGTCCAAAATACAATGAGCAGTACACGTGGGAGGTTTTTGATCCCGCAACAGTTCTCATTGTGGGGGTGTTTGATAACAACCATCTCGGTGGTTCCAATGGTAATAAAGACACAAAAATTGGCAAGGTTCGGATACGATTATCTACCCTTGAAACTGGTCGTGTTTATACACACTCATATCCGCTTTTGGTTCTTCACCCTTCTGGTGTCAAGAAAATGGGCGAGATACATCTGGCCATAAGATTCTCATACACATCATTTCCGAACATGATGTTTCTATACTCGCGACCACTTTTGCCAAAGATGCACTATGCAAGGCCATTGACTGTAATGCAGCAGGACATGCTACGTTTCCAGGCTGTCAATTTAGTAGCAGCTCGTCTTGGTCGGGCTGAACCTCCTCTTAGGAAAGAAGTTGTAGAATACATGTCTGATGCAGACTCACATCTTTGGAGCATGAGGCGCAGCAAGGCAAACTTCTTTAGGCTGATGTCAGTTTTCTCCGGATTACTTTCCGTAGGAAAATGGTTTGGTGAAGTTTGCATGTGGAAAAATCCCATCACTACAGTGCTAGTACAAGTCCTCTTTGTGATGCTTGTCTGTTTTCCAGAACTGATTTTGCCAACTGTGTTTCTATACATGTTTCTAATAGGGGTTTGGAATTATCATTTCCGACCGCGTTACCCTCCTCACATGAACACGAGAATTTCTTGTTCAGATGCAGTGAGCCCTGATGAGCTTGATGAGGAATTTGACACATTTCCATCCAGACAAAGTCCGGAGGTTGTTCGTTTTAGGTATGATCGACTAAGGAGCGTTGCTGGGAGGATCCAGACTGTTGTGGGTGATGTGGCTACCCAAGGAGAGCGGGTTCAAGCGCTACTAAGCTGGAGGGACCCTCGTGCCACAACTATTTTCTTGATTTTCTGTCTAGTGGCTGCCATTGTTCTATATGCAACACCGTTTCAGGTGCTTGCTCTTCTTGGGGGGTTCTACTTTATGAGGCATCCTAGGTTTCGTCACAGGGTTCCATCAGCACCAGTCAATTTCTTCCGTCGTTTGCCAGCGAGGACAGATAGTATGCTGTGAAGTTGTAAATGGCGTGTTCAGTCAAAGCCTCTCTTGCCAGTGTGTCAGAATCTGGTTTTTCACAGCAGCGCTTGTAAATATTTGGATATCTTGTTTTTCGTGTAATGTTCTGTTTACCTGGAAATGGGTTCATACATGACAGTAGATTAAGTTTAATAATGGAGATCGTATTTTCACTTTTGGTTGTAATGGAATTGGCTCAGCATCAGATGCCATTGTTGCTTCTTGGTTGCTGAGAAGAGAATTATTTAGTTAATTTTTGTGCCATTGTCTGCGGATTGGTGTTAAGAAATACTTCTATGCTCCGCAGGAACTCCTGATGCGTTAGGATAGTGCATGTGGTATGTTTTTGTTTCTTTAGAACATCTGAGGGTTTGTTTGCATTTCTGGTCAAGAAAAAAGCTCTCAGTGGCAGAGCTAGGGGTTTCGGTTCAGTTTTTAATAAAAATAACAAACCAAACAGAATTATATATATAAAAAGAGGAAAAAAAAAACATTGTTTGTTTATCCTTTTATATTTTACAGTGAATGAAATTGTTTATATTTTTTAGATTTGCTATAAATTTAAGAGAAAACAATATTAGAATTGATTGAGTTTATGGTCCGAATTTACCTTATAAGTTTTACTGTAAGTGATACTATTTACTTTTTTTGGTTTAAGAATTTTTTTTTTTTAGTTTTTATTTTTTAAAAATCTTATTTTTATTTTTATTTAAATTAATATATCTTCTCTCTTTTATGTTATTTAGAAAGCCTGTTTGAAATAACAAATTATTTTTTAATTATATATTTAATTTTTGAGAAGATTTTTCTTATTAATCTATATTTTTTTAATGTTTGGTATAGATGAACTTTATTTTTAAAAATAAAAAAAAAATATTTTTAAATAATATTACTAATATGTGTAACCTTGCATATTATTATTATTATTTATTTTATTCAATTAATTTAATGTTAGTGTCTATTTTTATTATTTTTTGATTGAACAAAAAAATATTTTAATTAATAAATTTAGCATACACAACCTTGTAAATGTTATACCTTACAAAATTACATATCTTAATCTATATCATCTTTTATATGGATGAACTTTATTTTTAAAAATAAAAAGAAATTTATTTTTAAATAATATTTCTAATATGTACAATCTTGCTTATTTTTTTTTTTTAATTTTGTTCAATCAATTAATGTCTGTGTCTATTTTTATTATTATTTGATTGAATAAAAAAATCAACAAATTTAGAAAACATAACCATGTAAATATCACATCTTGTCAAATATATATATATATAAAAGGAGAAGAATATATGCACTTATTCAAATAACATACATATAAATATAATAAGTTGTAAGTAAAGTATTTTCAAATATTTGACCTATTCTCATTAATACATTAGGAACAATATTTAAAATATCGTTCTTCACACCTTTTGCTTGTTCTCATTTGTTTTTGATAAGATGTAAATATAAATTTTATGCTTAGATTTTTATGTGCGGTAAAGAAGTATGATTTTATTTTTATGGTTGTCAATCACTTTTCTAAGATGATCTATTTTATTCTTTGTATCAAGACCACAAATATTTCTAGAGTTGTGAAACTCTATTTTAACAAGATTTTCAAGTTATGGTCTTCCCTGCACTATAGTATTGGATATAAATGTTAGATTTATAAGTTATTTTTGGAAACCCCTTTAACATATAGTGAAAAATAAGTTAAAGTTTTTAAATCCCTGCCACTTCTAAACTAATGGTTAAATTAAAATAGTTAATAGGAGTGTAGGTAACTTTTTGAAATGTCTAGTAAGTGATCATAGAATTAGAATTTGATTTTTCCTATAACCTATATTATTTATAGTAGCTTTGTCAATAGATTAATAAGCATGAGTTCATTTAAAGTTGTACATGGTTACAAGCTTAAGAAACCTATAGACCTTCTTCTCATGTCTCTTTATGTTAGGATCTTTGAGTTAGCCGAGTCTTTTTACCTATAGAATTCAGATATAGACCTTTTTCTCATATCTCTTTATGTTAGGATCTTTGAGTTAGCCGAGTCTTTTACTTCTAGAATTCAGAATTTGTATATTAAAATTTTTAAGTAGATTCAAGCAAATAATACATAATATAAATTTTGAGCTGATTTATATAGATAATATAATGAATTTAATGTGGAAGATTATATTATAATATGGATTAGATCTAAGCAATTTTTTTCATGAAATATTTAAAAATAATATGCATGCAGTAAAAGGCCATTCAAAGCACTATAATAGATTGGTCAAAACGCTTATGTTTTTTTATTTACCATTTGATTTTGGCATTACATACCAAAACCACATCATATTTCTGAGATTTCTTCTTGATGATCCCATTGACTATTGAACCATATGCCCCTTTCACCTTAACAAATTATCTTTTAACAAATTGTCTTCTGTTTTAACGCATCATGCATATGATTATTTTTCTTATGGATCAATTTTCAGGAAATTCTAAGATAGCAAATAATGTTCTCAAATTATATTTGAAATTATACGGTCATGTCAGGAGCAAATAATGTACTCAAATTATATTTGAAATTATACGGTCATGCCAGGAAAACAAAAAAAAAAAGAACAGGAATTCAGAGGCTATTCATGTCGCGTATAAGCTTCTCAATGGCCACGGGCTACAAGTCACATTTAAAAAAATACAACTGAGATAAAAACCAGAACAAAGTAAAATTTCTATCTCTGAGGAAAAATTTAGGGAATCATAAAACGGCAATCTGCTGATTTGTACAGGAAAATGGCATGCCTTATGACTACAGAAAGAGTGACTTTACGAAGATATGAAGAACCATATGCCAGCGTACCCTGTAGGATAGAAAAAGCTTTTAACTCACAGAAAAACAGATTAGTTCGAATCACCAACACTAAAACTTGGAATTGCATTGTCATTGAGCTACAAGAGATGAGTTCAACCCATGGTCAATCATAAGTAAATGAAGTGAGAAATGTCGAGCAGAATCAGCCTGTCTTCAATCTTCATCATTGGACTTCAGAAGATTATATTCAAGCTGTACTGAAACAGGAGAGTATATACATTGCTCACAGAATAATCAATAGAAAATCCTTATCCGCGCATCAGATCAATGTCAACATGGGTGCTTCGCATATCCACTGACCGAGAACCAGGCCATACACCCATAGAAGAGGTTGGAGTAAGATTTAGACTTGGTTGAACACTAGTTGGAGTTACTGGATTCTCGACCGTCTGATGGTCCGCATCTCTGGCTACTTCAGCACCTTCCACTTTCTTGTTTTTAGTCTTTGAACCACCCCACAAGAAACTTCCGGCTATCACCTGGATTCATGGATCAATTAGTAAAGCATTTTACAATAATATGAAAAAAAATCATGCCTGTTTCTATCACGGACTTGTGGCATGAACTTAACACCTAATTACCTAGCACAAAACAAAAGGGACTCAGTGCTTGGCGATACAAGAGAAGAGAACATTACTAATTTGCAACACGCAGTTACAGAGAAAACATTTCCTGCCTCGTTCTATGGATTATTTTGCATGGCTGAAAGCTCATTGACAAAGTAGATAATCTAATTCTGTACAATTACTGAATGCCAGTTGATAAAAACATTTTCATCTCTATGAAAATGGCATTAAAAACATTTAACAGTCTCACCATTGAGAAGTTTAGTGAGCAATAAAAGGATTGCAGTTTTGAGTGCAAACTACATATACTAGAGAGCCACAACAACAAATAAGTTACCTGAACAGGGCTTGCTGCAATAAGAACTCCACCAACTCCTCCACCAATAACACAACCATCAGGACTAGCTAGGGAGACACTCAAACCACCAGTTCGATTGCGAGGGCCACCATCGTTAGAGAACAGGTAAGAAAACCACCAGTTCGATTGCGAGGGCCACCGTCGTTAGAGAACAGGTAAGAGCCAGATAAACATAAAATTTCAAAGCGCCCCTGTAGAAACAAACAAAAAGGGATATCAGCTGATAAGAAATGCAAAAAATAGAGAATAGAACAGCAGGATATCTCGAAGCAAAGGCCTGAAATCAGGGAGACAGTTCTGCTCATCTAACTGAATAGTTAAAGGGGGAGAGTTTTAATAGGAAGAAACAAAAAAAAGTGTTCATGTCAATCTGAGTCCCTGTCTGTATATGATGGATTTGGGTGGTGAGGTAACTATACATAGCTCACTTAAGGCCAGAATGGTCTCCAAGATTTACTAGTCAGAAAAAAAAAGTATCTAGCTATCAAAGAGCCTTCATCCCCTCAACAACCAGCAAAAGACTAATGCACAGTGAGCATTTTACAAGTTCTAGAAGCACATGCTACTTCACATGGCATGTTCTATTAAAATCAAATGAGGCAGATTAAATTTGTTTCCAAGATTCACTAGTCAGAAAGAAAGAATTATCTAGCTATCATAGAAATCCCCTCAACAACCAGCAAAGGACTCATGCAGAGTGAGCATTTAACAAGTCCTAGAAGCACAAGTACTTCACATGGCATGTTTTATCTAAATCGAATGAGTCAGGTTAACTTTCCTAAAATTAAAATAACTCCACATATCAGTCACTGAGAAGAGAGGATTCATTAATGCCCAAAGGCTCGTGCTTCAGATGCACAACAAATGTCAATTAGGATAACACCTTAGTCATAGGCTTCTGAGGGTGTGAGCATATTGTTGAAGCTTCACGTCCAGCTATAAAGCTCACACATCTAAACATTTTTATTTCAACAAATAAACTCCCCATCAAAATCTGGAATTAACTAATAATATAAACACATCCATGACTGCCAGATAAACATAAAGAAAAAGATCAAGAACTCAGACCTCATATGTGACGGTGCCTCCAGAAGTTGATGGCTGATGCAGAGTAACAGTAGAGACAGCACCATTTGCTGACAAGATGCATATAGCTCTTGGACCCTGCTGTGAAAATGACATTATTTTTGTCGCAATGTCCTGCAGGAGTTCAAACTTTTAGTAGGAAAAAAATAAGAAGTGTCAATGGAACCAAAGTGTCAAAGGACACTAATGAAGCAAGCATGTCGGGGCAACACAAACAGCAAATCAAGCACTACTGTTTTCTTTTAACCATTTGGAGATTGCTCTTGGGTGCATGCACTATGTTGCATTCTTTGGGAAAGACTGAATGATATAGACAGTGGTCATCAGAGAGATCAAATGCTATCACACCACCAGCGAAGTGTAGATTCTTTTCTTTTCTTTCTTTCCTTTTTTTCCACTACATTTTCATCTAAGTTTTGTTGCATACCAATGTGATCTGTATCCTCCTGCTTCATCCTTCTCAAGTTTTCTTTCTTTCCTTTTTTTCCACTACATTTTCATCTAAGTTTTGTTGCATACCAATGTGATCTGTATCCTCCTGCTTCATCCTTCTCAAGATCTCTCTCATAATACAATAAGTAGGCAACTTATCTCTCTCATAATACAATAAATAGGCAACTTATCTCTCTCATAATACAATAAATAGGCAACTTAGGCAACTGGAGCATCATCAGAATACTAGGTGAATCCTATTTGCTAGTACGATTGTTATAACACTTGACTAGCCAATATGTTGCCTCAGCCCTGCTCCACCAAACAAAACAATAGGTTGACCAGAATAATTATAGAGGGAACTGCGTTTTGCTATAACTTTTGGTCCTTTCCATATAAATTTTACAGGCTAGACAAAAAAGAAACAGGGTATTAAAAAAGAAACAGCATACTTCTCCTACTGCAATGGTGATGATATGCGGAGTAAAACCCATCCCAGCTGAACCAGACAGCCATTCACCTAGCAAAACAATTACAGTTCGCATCATTCAAAAACCAACAGAAAAGCAGAAAAAACAAAATTTAGTTCAGATTATAGATATTGGATAAATCCACCATTACTTGGTCTTATTTTAATTGACTTCACAATCTCAGAAGGTGAAAGGAACTTGAAATTATCCAAGAATTAAACAAATCTAGATACCTTTGTTAAAAATAATTAAACACAAGAATATCACTTCTTTTTTTTGTAATACATGTGCACACACACATAAATATAGAAACCACGGCTACATGTGAGATTTTCAGGACCTTTGAACACTATAATTGGATAGTAATTTTTCATGAAGGACATAATTTTTCCTTTCAGTAGCTTCACACTGCTGCTATGGCTTCTCATTTAAGCTTCATCATATTAATGGTTAACTTTGAGACTTGTTTATAGACTTAAGCTGTGTTAGCTACTTATATTATGCGCTTTACATTCGACTAAAGGTTGCATTACTAACTAATCAATTCTTCTTTTTTATCTTTTTGTTTGACACTAAATTACTAAACCATCATTTTAAAGTTAAATTAACCTGTTTTAGGCTCTGTTTGGCCCTACCTGATCTAGCTTAGAACTTCATTGAACGCATCTAACAGTTTTTGAATTCTTCCTATGCAATTTCAAAGATGCATCAAGATGCGATTAAAGCCTATGAACACGATCCCTTACACAAAGCAGTAATATTGCGCTCATATATGTCTCCATAATCCCTTACATAACATAATCCCTTACAGAAGGCAATAGCCTTTTCTGGTCGAGCTCAGCTACAGTCATCAATTCATTTTAAGTCCATCCAAATGAAATAGAGAAGACAAATTTTCCAAAGAAATCTTACCAAGAGAAGCTAATTGTTGCTTCCTCCCAGTCCCTGGTGGCCGCCCTCTACCCCGCTTCTGGGATGGGATTGTTGTCTCGGGATGAGCAGACAGTGAGGGAGACAACGCCAATGATACAGCCCCATCAGGTCCGTATTTCCGTGGCCTTCCTCTTTTCCTTTTCTCAGGTTGACCGGATACCATTGTAGATAGTTCACCCACAGAAATTGCTGCCGGATGTTCCATCAGTAATGGAGATCCCATGGTATTGGCTCCCATATTTGGTTGAAATGGTGCATTTATATTGGATAAAGTATTGATGCCAGATGAAACATTTAAACTAGGATGTGTACCACTACCCTGCATAAAAAAGGAGGCAGAGCCCGAAATCGTCATAGTATCCCTTCTATCCATGCATTTACTGCTTACTAGTTGAACCTAATTTTCAATTATTCGCAAAAACTAGTTTCTCCTTGACAAAACCAACGACAAAGCTGAACAGAGAAGTTTTTGAAGCCCGCTAACATTCTAATAAAAATGTACATCCATTCTGATGGAAAACAAGAAAAGAACTTTGGGGTTCAAACAAACTCGAGGCAAAAGCTAGCAAGAAGAAGACAGAGAGGATAAAAAAAAAAAGGAAGTTAGAAATCTGAAAAAGCTAGGACCTTAAGAGATAAAGACAAGAATGCTTTTCAGCCTACAAAACCAAACCACAAGAAACAACATAGAAAATAGAGAAGGTTCGTTTTGAAGATAAAGAACTGTTCACAATCTCACCTCAACAAGACCCAAACCCCAGAATTTGAAAACTGTAAAGACAACGCTTTTTTCCTCTCTCAGAAAAAAGAAGTTGAACACTGACAGAGACAAATATGATAAATCAAAATAATGAACAGGATTAAAAGTCGAACACTTTTCAAATACTAGAGGAAAAAACATACGAGAAGAGGGCACTAAAGGTAGAACAGTTTTGGTGGGGAATGAGAAATGTACAGAAAGAAAGAACGGGCATGAACCACGGGCATGAACCTATGTTTAAAACGAGTCCTTATCAGAATGCATCCTTCTATGGTGGACCTTTCTCTCTCTATCTCTCTCAAGTTCGAGTGAATAAAAAAGCTTTATCTCAGAAGATATTAAGGGTTTTATCTATATCTGGACTGAGTGATTATGATTTGATACACTGGGGGGGGGGGGGGGGGGTTGGGGTTAGAGAGAGCTTGGAGGAAAGAACAAAAACTTGAACAGAAAGAAGTGTTACCCTTGGAAAATACTGTATGGATATATCTTTCAAAACTATAAAGACTTCTGGCTCTGTATCTGTATCAAACTGACGTGCCATAACTTCTTTGCAACTCGCAGTCATAGGTGCGTGGAACACCACAACTGCCCCTAATTGTTTTTCCTCTTGTGTTTTTTTGTTTTTTTTTTGATTTACGTGGGGTGTCTGGACCAGTTTACACGCACCACGATTAATCCCCACGACTCACTGAACATCCTGCAAGCCCAGTGAGCAGGTAAGACACCGCGGGGATGACAGACGTACATAGTAAGATTCGAACCCAGATGTGGAGGAAAGGATTGACAAACCCTTCCCACCACTAGGCCAGAACCTCATTTGCATTGTGTTTTGTTTTTAAATATACATGAATGAGGGCAACTTTATGCCCCAGGATTGGCTGGAGAGAAGTGGATGGAGTTCGCTGATAAAACCCATAAACGATTCCAGTCTCTTACACACTACACTTTAGGAGTTCCATTCGTGCTCTTTCCTAATCTAGATCGATCTTGACGTTAAGGAATCATATATATATATATATATATATATATATATGCGCGAAAATAAAAGGATCTAAGGTTGCTTGGTGCTTAAGGGATTTTCACTGATTAGATGTTATTAGGATGTTTCTTGATGTACTTAAGAACAAATTCATCTCGTCCATAAAGGAAGAATCAAATACTAAACTGGATAGTACCCGGTTTGTGCTATGCTTAAGAACGGAGAAATGCATGCATTTATTGTTCACTTAAATAAAATGAAATTTATCCTGCCAAGAGGTTTTCTATTAAAAAACACCACTAGAAAATGATTAATACTTACAAATAAAACTAAACTAATTATTGTTATAGATTAATATTTAATTTTTCGAAGGGAAAAATATATAATACTAAAAAATAAAATAAAATTATTTATTGTTATAGATTAATATTGCAAAATATATATTTGCATTAAAATAAAACTTTATATATACTTGATTTATCTTTAAAAATAATTAAATAAAATTATAATATATTAATTCTTGTTTTTTTTATTGGTTTGAAAATCAAATGAACTGATGGTCTTTACAAATATTATACCCTATTTGTTTTTGTATTTTAAAAGTGTTTTTATAAAAATTTTAAAAAATATATTTTTTATTTGAAATTAATATTTTTTTTAAGTATTTTCGGATATTTTGATATACTGATATCAAAAATAATTTTTAAAAAATAAAAAAATGATTTTCATGTATTTTTAAATGAAAAATACTTTAAAAAATAACTACAACCACACTTCCAAATGAACTCTATAGCTTAACAAGTGCTTGTGCCTTGTTTTTAAAATGCATTAAAGAAATTGAGTAGCTTGCTTGGAGCATGATTTGTTGGAGGAATAATCATTTTACTTCTTTTAGTGTTTGATAACAAGTTCAAATAGTTTAGATTAAAAAAATATTTTTTTTTCTAAGGTTTAAATTTAACTATAAAAAATGAATGAGGTGATGCCTTAATTATCAATGGCATTCTATTTTCACTTTAAATACCAACTCCACCATATTGTGAGATAGATTTTTTTATCTTTGATCTTTTTGAATCTTGATTTTTTTTTATAAGACTTATTTCTTGCTAATCAAGATTCTCTCTTAAAGTTTTTTTACTCTCATACCATATAATTTCTTAAACTTTATTCTTTAGACTTTCACCGTTAATTTATACCTTCATAACGTTACTATTTTTTCTCACATGCCTTTATCTACTTGCATCCATCTTTTTATGTTGGTATTTTGTTACTTCTACAAGTCACAATACTAGCTTTCAATATCTTAACTAATTTTTTGACTAGTCATTTGATCAATATTTAATAGCCCTTACACATGTTTTTTATAATTCCACTAAAGAGTTAGTGAAAGTGAAAGAACAATGATTTCTTCCAAAACCATCAAGAGGATTACTAATCTTGTAACCATTATGTTTATGCAACATAATGACAAGACCTTGCTGGAGCCTAATAACAATGCTAACAAAACCATCCATCTCAAAATTAAGGGTG